AAATTGAGGTTTTTATTTTTTTTATTTTTTTTTTTTATCTTTTTTTTGGTGTTCTACCCGATTCACCATTTAGGCTAATTCGGATTCAGGGCTCAGTTCTGGGTGGTTAGGTTTCATTCCCTTTCCAATTGTTTGTGTGGGGGATCGAATATGAGTCCTCCCTATCAAGTGTAGTCTCAATCACCATTCACCACTACACCAACAATCAATTGGTACCAAATTGAGTTTTATTCTTTGTCCAACATATAGGTGTTGCACACTTGTACTTGCATGTTGGTGTTGTGTCAACCTTATTTGTCACTTCCTCGGAAAAAAAAAACATTAATAGGACTTATTCAATATTATCTAAAAACTTACCACTTTATTAATTAAACCATTGCCTTAGATATCTCATATTAAATAATATAATAACCAGGCTCTCGGTTAATAATTTCAGATTAGTTCAGATAAGGGTTGATAAGTTCAGATAAGTTGTGATAAGGGTTAATCAACGCTACCCTAGTTTAATTTATAACTAAAATAAGTTCTTATAAGGGCTAATAAGTTCAGATAAGATAAGATAAATTTAGATAAGTAAACATTAGGTGAATAGAACATACGTGTGATATACGATTTTTTCATATATAAATCTCAAAAAAATATTTATGTTTTTTTTTATATAATTATTTGATTTATTTTACTATATGATAATTTCAAACAAAAAAAAACACATAATAATTTAATTAAAGAGTTATTGCCTATTACAAAAGTATATATATTTTTTTAATGTAATTTATAATGCGACTTTATTTATTATTATTTTGTATTTTATTTGTGGTTTTTAATTATATGACAAATGAATTTAAAAATATGAATAAATTGTGAATATGATATCTTTCAAAAAAAAATGTTAATTAATATTTTATTGGTTACATATTAGGATAAAATATTTAGTGTGAAAATATTTTTTTTATTTTTAAATAATTTAAATCCTTTATCATTATTTGTTATTTTTTGAAAAACAAAAATATTAAAAAATAATAAAAACGTGTATACTATTTATCTTCTATTTCGATAGAATTACCAATTTCGTTCACACCCATATATCTTCCAACTAATCAAAATGGATAAATAAAGCATGTTAGCAAAATAAAATTTATATAAAATTAATCTTTATAGTCTCATAAAATAAATCGATATATTTATCAGGAATTGAAAAACTTGTTGTGAAATTGATATATAAAATTGTAATTGTACAAAATTAAATCTATGAATTGAAATTTTTTCATCGTCCCCAATCGGTCGAACAAAATTTGCTTGATTTAGTTTGTATTGATACAAATTTTATTGGTGTGGTAGGATGCGTCAATTTATAGTGTTAGGCATCACAATACACAAATTTTATTTATTTATAATTAAGGAATAATTTTTATTTCTTATCATAAACACTATCAAAGATTATGTTAGATATATAAATCCTATATATCTAATATGATTTTTTCAAATAGATAATTTTTAGTTTTTTAAATAAATTAAATCCTAATAAATAACTATCAATTGTTTTTACGCAAAATTCTTAAATCTCATTCGTTACTTTTATTTAGATGACAAGTGAATTTTTTATTTCTAAAATAAAACATACAATTATAATGTAAATACAAAAGAAAATCAACTTAAGTGCCTAATAAATCTATCATTCTTAAAGTTGCAGTTCCATAATTTTATTAAGCAGATGATTTCAAACTGACAAAAGTAATAACAAATAGGAAGTGAGATTTTAACATACTTAAGTTGAATAATACAAGTAACAAGTACATACTTCAAAATTCCAAACACAAGCAATTTTGTAGTTCAAATAGCATAAACGCAATTTAATCTACACCAGTACGTACTTCAAATCAAATAAGTTTCCAAGTAAAACAAATCAAAATTAAACTTGGTGTACCAGAACAAGGAATAAATTTTTGCTACGTGCAATAGCTAGTATGTCTTTGAAGGAAGATGTTGACAAACATTTTCCAGCTCCTCCAACTTCTCCTCAAACTTGGAAGCCTCACTCACCTCAGTAGCATCAGCATTCAATTCTAGCCATTGCATTGTCTGCTCGATCGCCTTTATAGCATCTTTTAGCTTCTTATTACTGTGATTCTCAATTATCCCATGATCAGAAATTGTATCCCACATAGAGTTAGCATAATTCTCAAGTGCATTCTTAGCTTTTATCATCTTCCTGTATTCATCATCTTGAGCCTTGTATTTTTTGGCCTCTTCAATCATCCTTTCTATGTCCACTTTTGAAAGCCGCCCTTGGTGATTGAGAATAGTGATTTGGTTCTTCTTTCCTGTGCTTGTTTCTACGTACTGCTGAAACAGTAAGTATGCCATCAATGTCAATATCAAAACACACATCAAACTCGATGTCACCTTTTGGTGCTGCAGGAAAGCCGGAAATTGTACAATTGCCCAGCAAATTATTATCTTTAGCTATGGGTCTCTCACCCTCATATACATGGAATGTGCTGCCCGTCTGATTGTCAATAGCAGTTTTCCATGTCTCATTTATCCTTGGAAGGACGACTTTCATCTCCCTTAACGGATAATTCTCTAGACCAAGTGATAAAGGTGTGACATCTACAAGAACAATATCCTTATTACTCTTACCAACCCCACTTAACACAGCAGCATGGACTGCTGCACCATAAGCAACAGCTTCGTCTGGATTCATGCTCCTGCAGAGCTCCTTTCCATCAAAGAAGTCCTGCAACAATTGCTGAACCTTTGGAATTCGAGTTGACCCGCCAACAAGGACAACATCTTGAACTTCATGTTTTTCTATCTTGGCATCACTTAAGCACTTTTCAACAGTGTCCACACAATTCCTAAATAATTCCATATTCAACTTCTCAAAACGAGCACGAGTTATGGTTGATGTGAAATCAATCCCCTCATAAAGGCTATCAAGTTCAACAGTAGTTTGAGGAGTCGACGAAAGCACCCGTTTAGCTCTCTCTGAAGCAGCCCTCAATCTCCCAAGAACCTTAGAATTCCCACTAATATCTTTTTTGTGTTTCTTCTTAAACTCCTCCAAGAAACTACTTACCATTCTGTTGTCAAAGTCCACACCGCCAAGGTGAGTCTCTCCACTTATTGCTTTGACTTTGAACTGTCCCTTCTAATGGCTACCACCGAAACATCAAATGTCCCACCACCAAGGTCAAAAACTAAAATGTTTTTCGCAGCAGTGTTGCTACTAGTAGCTTTGGTGTCAAGACCATAGGCCATGGCAGCAGCCGTTGGCTCATTGATGATACGAACAACATTGAGGCCAGCAATTGTTCCAGCATCTTTAGTTGACTGACGTTGGGAATCATTGAAGTATGCTGGAACGGTGACAACAGCGTTCTTTACTGTGTTACCAAGGAAAGCCTCTGCAGTATCTTTCATTTTCATCAGAACCATTGAAGAAACCTCCTCAGGAGTAAATCTCTTCTCTTCACCCATATAGGAGACCGCAATCATTGGCTTATCTACTTTTCCAAAATAAGCACCATCTATAACTTTAAATGGCCACAATCTCTAGTCATTTTGTACAGATTCATCACTGAATCTTCTACCGATAAGCCTTTTTGCATCTGTCATAGATTAGAAGTTTTAGCACACGTACAGAGCCACAGGGAAGGTGGTTATACAGTGTCGAAAAATATATCATAATAAAATAAAATTATTGATTGAAAAAGCCAACAATACAATATTATAAATTGCAACATTAGGAAGATTCAAAAATTTATATAGAATGAAACTAAACATTAGATGTTATTGTTATTATTACCAAAAGTAAATTAATACTCTAAGTCTCTAACCCTTAAATATCTCAAGTAGCCTTATTTACCCGAAGCTGATAGACAACCACAGTTTCGTATAAAATCTCAAAATCAGTAGAACACTTTACTTCATAATACAATACCAGGAGACACACATCAACTTTGACAGCAAAATAGCCAATAATTATATTTAATTTATGTAATAATTATTGAAGCTAGATCGATAAGAAAAACAGAATTTCATCATTTACAAGTTCCAGCATTCTATATTCTGCATATTACCTTACATCTAACTGATCTAAGTAACTCCCTCGGTCCCTAATAAAGCAAGCAGATAAAACAAATAATAGCAGGGAGGGATAGATTAGGAAACATACCAAAAATGGTGTTGGTGGGGTTCAAGGAGGCTTGATTCTTTGCAGCTTCACCAATAAGGCGCCCGGAGTCATTGAAAGCAACCCAAGATGGTGTGGTACGGTTACCCTGATCATTTGTTATGATTTCAACACGATCATGGCGCCAAACTGCAACACATGAGTAAGTTGTACCGAGATCGATTCCGATCACTGGCCATTCTGTTTTTCCACCCATTTCTCACCAACCCTCAAAGCAGTTCCAACAGCAGCTACTCTAGGAAGGAGGGAAAACAGTTGAATGACGTTTAAGTTTCACAGTATTGATTAACTTCTAAAGGTTATTTTATTTACCATTTTATAGTAGGATGTTAACTTTTCAAAATGTCTTCTTCTGGTGACTGTAAAAATTCTGCTGAATACTTCCTCTCATTTTACAAAGATTAGGAAAAGGCAGAGTGATTCCTCGTAAACAAAAATCATTTAAGCATCATGCATACTATATTTACTGTTAATAAATTTTCTTGGAAATTTCAAGTTCATATAAACAAGGGGAAGTGTCTCTTTATATTACCACACATTTATATCTTCTGACTGAGATTAGTTTTGGAAGACAGAGGAACTGAGGAATCACTGTTCATTGTATTGAATATCAATTTTATTTTACTACTGAGTAGATTAATAATGTAATAAACTAATAATGTATTGCAGAGTATATATAATTTTGAAAAGTTCATAACTCCATATTTTGAAGATAATTGAAAACAATTTTTTTCAACGATAAAAGTATCATATACTGTCAATGATTATCATAATTAATCAAATGAAAATATATGGAACTCGGAAGGGAATCTGACGTCCCTATGATTCTATTCTTTGATAGAATGAAATAACAAAAAGATGCCGCCCTGCATCCAGAACTAAAAACATGAGAGGCAAAATTTTATAAATGAATAAATAAAAATTACTTATATGGTTGTATACTTGTATATGGTAGCTAACCAAGCACCAAATAAACAACACATGACAAAAAACAGTACCAAAACAAGTCACAATACTTCCCACTTAACTGTGAATCTATGCATCTTCCATATAGGGTCGCCTGCAACCATAACAAGTTAGACAGAATTCACATAAAAGCCAAAGGCTATAGTCGTTAGCTCAACCCATGTCATGTTATGTTATTTCTGAGGTTATTCAATCAACAACTTAAGACATTTCTTCAGTATATTATGTTGCTATAGAATAAATGAAAATTAACAAAATAGTAATTGTGTGACGAGGAAGAAGTTGAAACGAGTCAATTAATGTACTATACAAAGAACCATCACCTGTAGTGAACTTGGGGATAAACAATCAGGTTCATCTGTGTGTACCACAATGAAACTTTGCAAACGATTATAAAAGAAACATTAAGTACAAAACCAGAGTCGCGGGAATGAACATACAAAAACCAAAATTTAACCAAACTACCAACCTCAACACAGTAGGTCTCAAATCACAAGAAGCAGTACTAACTAAGAAGTAAGAAATTGGCATAATTCCAAGCTGCCAAGTAGATAAATCTCAGAAAATGATGGAAAACAATCCTCTAATATTAATTATTTAAATCATGTAAAACTCTAGGCTATATTTACTTTCACCTACTAGTACTAGTAGCAGTTTAAATTTAAAGATCAGTAAGTTTCCAAGTAAAAGAGATGGTATACCAATCACTTTTGGATCTCCAGACTATATCAGAGTACTAACATTGCTGCATAACTTGGCGTCAATCAGCAAGCCTCGAAAGGAAATGTTGACAGATGCTTTTTAGCTCTTTTAGCTTGTCCTCAAATTTAGAAGCCTCGGCAACATCAGAATTCTCATCTAGCCATTGGAGTGTCTGCTCGATGGCATCCTGTACTTTCTTCTCATTAGTGCCAATCTCAATCTTCCCATAATCAAACACTGCTTCTCGCATGTTATTGGCATAGTTTTCAAGTGCATTTTTGGCTTCCATCATCTTCTTATACTCCTCATCTTGAGTCTTGTAATTTTTAGCTTCTTCTTTCATTCTGTCTATGTCTTCCTTTAAAAGTCGACCTTTATGATTACGAATAGTAATTTCATTCTTGCTTCCTGTCCTTGTTTCTACCGCTGATACTGTAAGAATGCCGTCAAAATCAATATTGAACCACACATCAAAATTGATGAAACCTTTTGGTGCTGGTGGGAAACCTGCAACTTTAAACTCACCCAATAAATTATTTTCTTTAGCTATGGATCGCTCACCCTCAAACACATAGAAAGACACATCTGTTGGATTGTCTGTTGCATTGTACCTACTTTGATACATCTTTGCTGGGATGATTGTATTCCTAGGAATCACAACACTCATCTTACCATCAGGATAATCCTCAAGACCAAGAGAAATAGGTGTTGCATCCACAAGAGTGATATCCTTAAAACTGCTACCAACATCACACATTATAGCAGCTTGGATAGCTGCACCATAAGCAACAGCCTCATCTGGATTAATATTTTTGCAGAGCTCCTTGCCATCAAAAAATGATTGCAGCAATTGCCGAATCTTTGGTATACGAGTTGATCCACCTACTAAGACAACATCATGAACATTGTGCTTTTCCACCTTGGCATCTTGTAAGCACTTTTCAACTGTATCCACACAAGTTTTAAACAAATCCATATTTAATTTCTCAAACCTTGCACGAGTTATGGTTGAAGTAAAATCAATACCCTCAAAAAGGCAATCAATTGCAATAGTTGTTTGGGGAGCTGATGAAAGTTCCCTTTTGGCTCTCTCCAAAGCAGCCCTCAATCTTCCAAGAGCCCTATGATTGCCACTAATGTCTTTTTTGTGCTTCCTGTTTATCTCTTCCACAAGATAACTTAACAATCTGTTGTCAAAGTCCCCTCCACCAAGGTGGGTGTCACCACTGACAGCTTTAACTTTAAATTCACCCTTTTTTATGGCTACCAAGGAGACATCAAATGTTCCACCGCCAAGGTCAAATACTAAAACAATTTTTTCAGGGGTGTCACTACCATTAGCCTTTGTGTCAAGACCATAAGCCATGGCAGCAGCCGTAGGCTCATTAATTATACGAACAACATTGAGCCCTGCAATGGCACCAGCATCTTTTGTTGCCTGACGTTGGGAATCATTAAAATATGCTGGAACTGTGACAACAGCATTCTTCACTGAGGTGCCAAGGAAAGCCTCGGAAATATCTTTCATCTTCATCAGGACCATTGCAGATAACTCCTCGGGTGTGAATCTCTTCTCCTCACCCTTATAGGTGACCACAATAATAGGCTTAGCATCTTTTCCTGGATCAGTACAACCTACAACCTTGAATGGCCACAACAACATGTCGTTTTGTACAATCTCATCACTGAATCTTCTGCCAATAAGCCTCTTTGCATCTGTCAATATAGTGCAGGAAAGGTAATATAAGACTATAAGAGTAAGTTAAACTTAAGCACAATCTGGCCTGTAATATTCATTGCAAATAAGATATTGAAAGAACTTCAATTATTTCAACTACCTACAGCTTTTAAAGCAGTCAAGAAATACACACGAATGAGTTACTTTTAAGTACCTAATCTTTTTTGGAATAGTCATGAACTGCACACATACACAAGCACATAAAATTAAATATAAAACCATGTTACCGCAAAGATCATCAAAATGTAGAAACAACCCCTAACACATTAACAATTATCAATCCCGAAGAACAATAAACCAAAAGCGTCGAATTGCATCGACCTCAGCCCTGTGAAGTATTTGTTACATGTTCATATTATCTATTACTAACTGGAAAAAAATAAAAAATAAAAAAATTTGCATCTTTGTTTAAACAATCTCACAAACTACAAAGTTCACTAGTTAAAATTTACACAAGCTTTAAGTTTTCTATTTAACAGAAATGCAAAGACGTTAAACTTAATTACACCACATTCAGTTGAAACAATAGCGAGTGGGTAATCTATTTTCACCTCCCACACAAGATGCTTGTGTTTGATCTTGAAGTCTTGAACCCCCACATGGTGTCCATTCTTATCCCAGCCTAATAGTAGATATCTAATGCTTGCTATACACTAGAGTACTACTCCTGATACTGATACTTATTTTTTCTTACCACTTTGAGTCTTTGACTTCTGATCCTAGGCAAAGAATTTTGCCTTTAATTAGCTTGCAGTGTACAGTTCACCATTTTTTTTGTTGCTTAGTATTTTCTCGGTTTCTTAGCTTCAAGCTTTTAAACAGATCATTATTAGCAAGTAAAGGAGCAGAAGCTGAAATTGCAGGGAAGAATAAACTGAAGTGTGATGCTGCTACAAATGATGTAGTTTTTTTTTAAAAAAAAATAAATTACAGAAAATGTGAAACTTAAAACAGTTCTTGCAAGACTAGGACACATTTCTTTATCTAAGATTTTGTAACTGTACAGTTCACCATATTCTATTGACAGAGAAATATCAAAGATTATAATTAACAAAGGGTCAAAATGATACTAATATTGTACTCCGTACTTGATTGCAGGGAGCTGACTCAAGTCTTTCAAGAAGTGAAGTTTGATTTTGTAAAGAAAACAACAGGTTGAGTGGTGCATCTTTTTGGCAAAAAACATTTTGCAGAGTAAAGTACTTGAAACAGAATGTGTACACATTCCGATCCCTTCACCTTGATAATAGTAGAGAACCTCCCCTGTGTACCCGGATACACTAAGATCATATAAATGAGGAATATTTACCCTTGGATAAGCTTAGCATTAGGTGTAACCGGATACATAATAGAATTTATAGCAAATTGTTACAGCTGAAATAATAGTATATGGCAAGTAGTAGTTTTGGCGGGAAATTCGGTTAGCCAAGTTGTTTTGCTATTTTGTCTTATTTGTTGCTTAGCTGTAAGATTCCTAAATTCTGTTTTAGCTTGGTTGTTAGTAGAGCTAAATACAATGAATCAATTTAATTCTCTCATTAAGAAATACATTGAATTTCCTCTCTATCTCTCTTTCTCTCTCTTCTTCTTCTCCCTCTATTCTGTTACATCTTCTTCTTCTATTTTCTCTATTTTCTCTGTTTTTCTGGAAAATAGCTCGAGTAAATCGGTAAATTCAAGCTATAATCAAACTCTTCCTATACCACAAATATATTGGTTAACTAGTTAGTGAGCATTCAATCAGTAACCGGATACATATTAGAATTTATAGCAAATAATTTTGATTAACTAGTTAGTGAGCATTCAATCAGTCATTAAGTGATTTCATTAGGCTAAATTGAGTGGTTGTCAGGAACTTCTAGCTAAATGAATAAATAAATAAAGTAATCATCAACTTTAAAAAACAAAACTCCCTTCATCTCTAACGACACATTTGGAAACTGGTTATAAATAGCATTACCGTCTACCACTTGAATGAACACTAATATTCAGTAATACCTATAGATTACACACAAATTCATCCTAATTACCACCATTTATGACTACATTCCAAATGGACCATCGAAATATTTCTTGTTTTGACACTGTAGGTTTGTCAATGCACATCTTTGCTCACTGATTAGTATCTCTAATTACTTGTCAGTAAAAATTATTCATGTACCAACTCTTACAAGTTACTCTATGCTAATTGCTCCCATTTTCTGTAGAACTTGTTTAATCTATGCAAATTGCTTGCATCAATTTTATATTTTTATACAAATTAGATGTATGACATGTGAATAATTGCAAGAATATAAACTCAAAAGGATCGATTACACTATAATTTGAAAATCACACCCTACTAATATAACCCTTAATTGCCATGAGTGAAAATTTTAGTGAATGAGTTATTGAGTATGATTGAAATAAACTAGTTGAATCCAATGTTAATTACAATTAAATTCATCCAAAAAAAAATTGCATATCAAAAATCAAATAACCAGTTTACTGTAGCAAAACTATAATAAAGCAAGTAAATTGAAAACAGGAAAATAGAGACAAACCAAAGATAGTATTGGCGGTGTTGAAGGAAGCTTGGTTCTTGGCACCTTCTCCAATAAGCCGGTGGGATTCAGTAAAAGCGACGCACGATGGGGTCGTGCGGTTGCCTTGGTCGTTGGTAATGATTTCGACACGGTCGTGCCGCCAAATTGCAACACAAGAGTAAGTGGTACCGAGATCGATTCCGATCACCGGCCATTCTATTCCTCCCATGAACTGTAATTTTAGTTCTACAGAAAAGCAGAAATGAAAACTAGGTAAAAGTTTTTTCAAATTCAAGTTAGTTCTGAAGTTCTTAATTATGGTTAAGTTGCCATTTTATAGCAAAGTAAGGGTAATCTCAGGAAAATTTAAATTTGTGACTGCTGAAATTCCAAATTTATCCTTTTCTCTTTTACAAAGATTGACGAGTGTCTCTTCGTAAACTGAAGCCATTTACTCCCGAGCAAAGTAAGGGTAATCTCAGGAGTATTTATTTATTTTTTGACTTGCAAATAAATTGCCCTATATGGCTATATCTTGACTTACAAATAAGGGGCCGTTTGGTTGGGGGTAATCAGGAAAGGGAATGGAAATCAATTGGCCCGATTCCCTTTGTTGATGTTTGTTTAGCACTTTTATTCATTCCCTTTACCCTTCCCATTACCCCAAATCCTTCCAACTTCATTCCCCACCCCCCTAGGTATTTCCATTCTCATTCCCAACCCACCTTCACACCACCACATCACAACCGCAACACCACCGTCGCCCCTACCCAGACCACCGCCACCCCTCCCCGACCCCGAGCCTCGCCGACCTCCCCTCCCCCGAATAAACCTCCCCTAGCCCCGGAAAACCCTAGCCCCAATCTCCCTTGACCCCGAAAACCGCCGCCCAGCCCTCCCACCACCCTCAAAACCCTAGCCGTTTTCCGGGGCTAGGGAGGGTTTTCCAGGGCTAGGGGAGGTTTTTTCGGGGGAGGGGAGGTCGTGGCTCACGCAGCTAGTGGCGACAAGGGGAAGGGGAGGGCAACGAAGGGAAGGGGAGAGCCGGCGAGGGGCAGGGGATGGCCGACAAGGAGTTTGGTGGCTGAGAAAGATGAAATGTGTGGTGGTGTGGTGGTGGTGGTGAGGTGGTGTAGTGGGGGGATTGATTCCCTTTGTTTTAAAAACAAACAACAGAGCAAAAAAAGGGTATTTTAATTCCATTATTCTCCTTTCCCTCTATTTCCATTCCGATTCCCTCGTGCGAACCAAACGGCCCCTAAATTCCAATGTCTTGACATGCAAAAATAAAAAATAAAAAGGTGAGTACTTTAGGAAAGAGAGTGTAATTTTTGCTAAGGATATCAATAATTTGGTATGTAAACTTAGCAACTGCAAAGAAAGTTGCTAAGTTTAGATACTCAACTTTGAGTCTCATTTGACAAAAAGTGTGGACCCTTATCAATATTATAATATGTTTTGTAATTTATTTTAGTTTAATTTTATTTTTTTCTCTAAAAAATAACTTATAATGTGATTTAGTGGCCATAAATTGAAAGTGACATTATTATATTTTAGAAAGTCTCACCATTGGGAAATTAGACTTTACATGAGTTGTTAAATTGACAAGTGAGTTGGATATCACCATTGGAGGTAAAAAAAACAACTCATTTTGTATTTCAATACTCAAAGTTGAGTCTCACCATTGGAAATGGTCTAATACGGAGTATACAAGATGCATTTCCCGAGCAATTTCCCAAAATAGTGCTAGAATAAAAATAAATTCAATTTGTGCATCGATTTGGAAACTAATTCCCTATATACCTGACAAGCGCACATTAGGGCGCGCTTTAAGGCATATAAATGGGTGATTTTGGATGTATTTAGGCCCGTTTTGGTCGTTTATTGCCTTGTTACACTCGTTTCCTTCATATTACGTGCTTCACGGGTTTCGGTCTGTTTTTGGTGTGATAACAGGTATAGTTGACCAAGTTATGTCGAGTCCCGAACCATTGGTGCGTAATCAGGCTATTATCGATCCTAGTCCACCAAGCTAAGGCTTTGCTGCGGTTCTCAAGGCCTTGAAAGGCAAGTTAAGTAGCAGGCAAGGCAGAACAATTCACAAATATGACACCTGTTCACTATTTTGATAACAACTTTCGGTATACAAATGAAAATGGAGTGATTCTAATTGCATTGGAAAGTAGACTTGAAGAGCTTTCCAACGATATATTGCACGCCTCAAACGGAGCTCTGGATAAGAAGTTGTGACTGTTTTAAGAAGACCAAAGTGCCTGCAACCTTCCTGCCTATGCTGCACGGCCGTGCCAGATTCAGCACGGCCGTGCCAGGCATTAGCACGGCCGTGCCAGATTCAGCACGGCCGTGCCAGGCATTAGCACGGCCGTGCCAAGCCAATTTCCATGCCCGTGCCAGTGCCAGATTCAGCACGGCCGTGCCAGATTCAGCACGGTCGTGCCAGGCATTAGCACGGCCGTGCCATATATAGCACGGCCGTGCCAATTTGAAGAAGAAACCCGGTTTACTTACTGACAAGCTAGCACGGCCGTGCCAAATACAGCACGGCCGTGCCAAATACAGCACGGCCGTGCTGATCCAGGGTTAACTGCGCGCTTGACTTCTCCGAATTAGAAGACGTATATAAGGCCCAACTTTAAGAGGATTCCAGAGACAGTTTTAGAGATAGTTTTGAGAGCCTTTGTAGAGAGTTATTGGAGAACGTTTTTAGTATTAGAGATTCATTAGTTTTCTTAGAGAATTTCCTAGAGATTTTAGTTTTCTTGGATTGATTTGAAGCAAGATTTGCGAAGGTTCTTTGTATTATTCATTGACGACGGATATCAAAGTTCTGAACTTTTCCATTGATTCGCATCAATACAATTGGTATTATTCATTCTTGTTTATTAATCAAGCTTTATTATTCCTTAATCAGAATTCATGTTTATATCTATTATGCTTTTGGAATTCATTATTGCTTTGATTATGAATATGTGTTAGTAGTCTCCTAGCTAGGGTTTCGGGATGAAACCCGGCCTAGGTAATCTATGTAATTGAGGATTGATTTTGATAAACGGATTGTGATTAAATTGATTATATGCGATTGCATGTTAATTCATTATAATAGGAGTAGCTAACCTAGAATCTTGAATTTGATTGCATGATATTCTTGATTTGAACAAGAGATTGTGAATTGAGTATTTCATTATTGAATGTGGTTTGATTATGTATCGAGTAATGTTAAGTGCATGAGAAATCCAAGCTTAGTATTGCCCGTTGTCTTCCTATCACATGATATTGATCAGACTTATAGTCTTTGCATATCTCGTTTGTCTCTGTGATTCCTTGTTGCTTAGTTACCAATGGTTAGGCGGATTCCCGTTCTCCCTAGTGTCTTAGTTTATTGATTTATTCCATCTTATTAGTAGTATTTTAGAACACCATTTTCCATTGATTTCGAACTAGCTTAGGTTTAAGATTGATTTGCAATTACTCTCGTTCCTCGTGGACCGAACCTTTATTTGTCATTGTACTTGGTTATAGGGTGTTCGTATAAGTATTGTTTGATTGAGAGTTAGATTGTAGCGACCGATTTAACCCTCGTCAATACCGTCCGATCGGTGTTGGGTGTGATTTTTTTTTTCACCTTAAAACCGCTAATGACAATAGTGGTTATACCTTTTAAAACCGCTACTGTTATTAGCGTTTTCAGAAAAAAAAAAAAAGACCGCCTATTTCAATAAACAGGTCTTTTTTCTTCCTTACCTTTTTTTCAAAAAAAATAGTAAGGAGGCAAAGAGACCTGTCAATAAAAAAGGAGGTCTCTTTTCTGAAACCATATAGGAAAGAGAGCATCCACATTATTACTGTTAAGTTCAAAGAGACCTAATTTCATTAATAACGGGTCTCTTTGCATTTTATTTTTTAAAAAAAAAAAAAAACAAAACTGCTAATGTTAGCGGTTTTAACATAAAATCGTCAACAACATTAGCGGTTTTAAGCCAAACCAAATACCAATCCTACATGGATGGTACTTTGGGAATTTGTTTTTAAATGGGTGTATAGTGAAAATTTGTTTTTAAACGAGAAAGAGGAGCGGTAGAGAGAGAGGGACCCAACGAATTTTGTTTGGAGGTGTGAAATTCCCAAGCTAAAGCTTGAAATTCTAAGTACTCTGTAGGATTTTTCAATGGGTTGCATGGATATTCAAAGCCTACTAGAGGTGTCAAAACCGAACCGACCCGAAAAAAATTATCCGTTTCGAACTGTAATCGATCCGATTTAATCCGAGAAATTCAAGACCCAAACCCGATCTGTAACCGAACTGAACTCAACCCAAATCCGAACTTGACCCGATCTGAACTTAACCCGTCACCGATTTGATCCGACCTGAACTCAACCCGAATCCGATTTAACCCGACATGAACTCAAACCGAACCGATTTGACCCAACCCGAGCTGAACCCGATCCGAAATTGACCCGAAAAATAACCGATCTAATCCGATCTGTTTTGACCCAAACTGATATTAACCTGATCCGATTTTAACTCGATTTGATTTTTACCCGATCAGAATTTAACCCGATCATAATTTATTATTTACTTTTTTATTCAAGTTCTTATACTATATATTTACTAATTATTAATAAGTTAACTTTTTGACTACAAAGAAATAATCCGGAGTCTTAAGTTTACTTCATGTACATATCAATTATATTAATTTACTTTCTAAGTTTTAATAAATGCCACAAGATCTAATAAACCTAAACATAAAGCTGGAGTTAATTGATTTGCTTGTAAAGCTCTAGTTAAATGCTGCCTAAAGCCTATTGTCATTTTTAACGAATTTCCTCCCATTCTGTTACATTTTATGAACTAATAATTCTTTTCTCTAAATACTACAACCAATTATATCAATATAAACTTCGTGCTTCGTAATTAACAATCATATTGACCCAATACTAAGGTAAAAACTAAACAATATCTCTAGTTTAAAAATAACCTTATTTGAATATGAATTTTGTCAACTCGACCAAAATCCAGCCAAACACAAAAAGGAATTGAACCGAAATTGACCGATCCGAACTTGACCGAATCGAAATCATCCGAACCGAAATCAACCCGACTCAAATTCATCCGACCCAAAGTTACACAGCTAAACCCGTTTTAAACCCGATCCAAATATATCCGAACCGAAAGTGAATCGATCTGAAGTTGACCCGACCCGTATCCGACCCGGACTTGATAGACCATAACCCGAGTTTGACCCGATCCGAAATTGACCCGAT